CCCATTCCCCCATTCCCGACCAAGAACCAGACAGTCATCTACTCAAGAACCAGCTGACCTCGAACCCTACAACTGCTTAAAGTTCACTGCATACCACAGACCCGAAACGAAATTCGTTCTGCCCTAAACCCTAAACCCTAAACCCTTGCTGTCTTTAGTATACCTGTTCTGCGCGCAAGGGACCCCAGCCGGAATCTTGGCAGCATCTTGCATGGCAACACCTTTCGAAGGGCTTTCAGGGTGTTTAGGGTTTAGGGTTTAGGGTTTAGTAGGGCTTGCAGGCAGATTTGGGGAGGTCCGGGGAGGGTGCCAGAACCTGTCAAGCCTGCACCCTGCAAAACCCCACTAGCCCCAGGCAAAACCGAATAGATTCTCAGATGATGCTTCGTGGCTGAGTCGATAGCTTTTAATGCTTGCTATCGGGCTCCCTAAACCCTAAACCCAAAGCCCTAAATACGTGAGCCTTGCCAAGGAAGAACCGCAAGAATCTCCGAAACCCCAAAACCGAGATCGCCACTCTCAAGGGCCCCGAATGACTTCAAACGGTCCCACGCGTCACCAACTGCACTACGCCCTATATTTCAAACCCAAAACCATGACTTAAACCCTGAATCTATAACAAGCATAGGCTCCATAGTAGTTCCTTGTTGTGGTTTATATTTAGAATCCGAGAAGGTAATCCCAAAAGGGAACTACTAAGGAGCCTATGGGTACCTACACTACTCCTCAACCCTAAACCCCACTTGAACCTCCAAAAACCGCCACTTCCTGAACCCGACCTTCGACCAAGGAGGGCAGCCAGTCGGCAGCGTGCACCAAGCCGGAGTAGGTAAAGCCTCTCCACACAGCCGGCTTAAGGCTTAGAGTTCAGGGTTGCCTCGGTTTAGGGTTTAGGGTTTAGGGTTTAGGGGACAAGGAGTGCAGGGTATGGCAGCTCTAGGGTTAAAGGTTCAAGCGCTTGCGAGCTCGTGACCTAGTTAAGGCTTCATCATACGGGCCACAACTGCCCCTCGGTGGCCTTCCGTCATCACCGCCGGCGCATAGACCATGGCCGTGCCACGCGTCCCTCCCTCCTCAAAGCAGGAGGGTTTGGGTGATATGAGGATTCGACCCTAAACCCTAAGCCCTCCTACACCCCAACCTCGAAACCCAAAGCTGGGGCCCGAGCCCAAATGGAGCACTTGCCTCCACGCAGGGGGAAGTTCGAAGCACCTTTCTGGCACAATTAGAATCTCGGGCTTCAGAGACTAAAGGCGTGGAGCTTAGGCTTAGGCTTTGGAGTGTTGAGCTTCAGGTTTTCAGGCGTACCGAAGTCGGATTTCAGGGGTCGCTGTCAGGTCGGGCACGTTGAAGCTTGTTTTGGGGGTTCGGATGTCTACTGCGTCCCTGTTAGGATTTTGGGATCCTTAAAGGCCAATGTCTGCATGCTCCCTTATGAATTCCGTAAAAGGCTTCCAGTGGGCCTCGACAGCAAAATAGGTTGGCGGATCTATGAGTCGGGTGAAGAAAGGGTAGAGGTTCATGGGCTCGGGAATCCAGGACAGCCTGCGCAACGTCTTTCTGACGAGGGGTTCCAACAAACCCGTCACCGGAGACTCCGCTTCAAGCTCTGATCTCTTCAAGGCTGTAGCATTAGAGCCCGGGACTGAAGGTGAATGCAAGAACTATGGAAACTTAGGATGGAGAACAGACTCGAATGCACGATACCTTCTTGCTCACGCACGAAATGCGGGGGCTTGCTAAATCTGGCCTTTGAGTGCCAGGTGGCTACTCTGGCTTCTCTTGCATCGCCAATAGAAGGCACTGTGAATGTTCGTGGGGGTGTCCTCGAAAAATGTGTGCCCTAAACCCTGAACCCTGAACCCTAAAACCTGAATCCTAAACCCTCTTCAAGGCCGACACAGAGACCGCACATCCGAATTCCCACTTCCCCCAGCAGTGCCTATGCCAGCACACTCGTGGACAGGGCCGCCATTGTCCGTGGTCACCTAAGGGGCGAGTTTACGGTTTAGGGTTTTTTAGTTTTTTTCTTTTTTTGTGTTTTTTTTGGGGTGGGGGCGAGGCGGGGGATGAGGGGAAGCAGTCAAGCCTCTATAGCTGAACCTAGACTCCTCTACCAGCCGCTCTCAACCCCAATGCGAAAGCGAAAGAGGCAACACCCCCTTTGCAAACTGCATCCGGGCACCACGATGATGGCATCGGAGAGCATGCCTTTAGCTTCCAGAGCCCGGGTGACATTGCCAATGCCTTCGGCTGGGTGTGTTGGGGGCTCGAAGGTATGGGCTTAGGGCTTCCTCGCTGCGAGTGTGGCTTCTGCCGATCGTTTGGCGCTGCAAGTCTTGTGGCTTCGAGTCTGTGGCATTGGCCTGGCTAGTCGCTGAACTGTGAAATCGTCGTGGTCGTGCCCTGGCATGCTTCTGCCATCAAGTCAAGGGAACAGCCCAAAGGCAAAACATACCAACCAACTGCAGCCTTAACCCAAACAACTGCAGCCTTAACGCCCAGGGCACAAACCCCCAACCCGGCATCACCACCACACACTGTCTAAAGCCCCTGAAACGAAGGCTTGAAAATTGAACCTCTCGAGCCTGTCCACCCATACACCCCAACCCATATGCCCGAACCCGAAACCCTAAAGCCCTCAACCCTATAATACCCGAAAAAACCCTTAAAAACCCACACCCTATGGCCCTACACATCGGAACAGAGAACCCAGGGACGGGAGCCCCTAGCCCAGGGGAGCCCACTCCTTCGTCCACTGCCGTCACCATCCCGGCAAAGGTGCGCCGGTCGGGATCCTCGATCGTGTGCCTCAGTCAAAAAGCTCTTCCCTAAACCCTAAACCCTAAATTCTTTGTTGGAGTGAGCGCAGGCTGTAAGAAAGAGGCGTAGGATGTGGCCTAATTATGCTAGTGTGTATGTACCTGTGATATACTCACATGCGCTTTTGCGACTGGTAGGTGGGAGTTGGAGCCCTGTCACATCGGATCTCGACTCACGACTTGCGATTGTCGCCCGGAAGTAATGAGTAGCGGCCAAAGCCTAAAGGCCCGATTGAAGCCCGGAGTCTATTCTATACCCCACCAACCGGGAACCCCAGAGTGTCCTGGCCGGTGCTTAGCCTTGTGCTTTGTGCTTCTGGCTTGTGCTTCTGGGGCGGACCTTGTCTTGCGCCTCTTCTGAAATCTGATGATGTGTTCCATGACGGATATGTTGTTCCCTAAACCCTAAACCCTAAATCCTTGATGTGTTGGGTGAGCTTCCATGATCGTCTAAAACCCCCAAACCCAAACCCCACCCCCCATGCCCCGAAACCCCAACCCCTGAATCCCAACCTCCCAAAGCTTTCAATCCGAAGAGCTGGGTTCTTGTTAAGGAAACCACCATACTCTAGATCCTTTTTTTATGGCAACTGTACATTTAAGTTGAAAAGAAACCTATGCACTGTCATGTTATTTACTATCGGTCCTTTCTTTATAGTAGCTTAAACTAAAAATTCCTTACCGAGAGCCTAGAGGAAAAGCCGGGTTGCTCATAAGGCTTCACGTAAGCCGGCGGAGCCTCTCGAGGAGAGTGCACACCTCTGCAGCTATGAGCTGTTCGGACTCTGGGCCTCCCCGTTTCGCTTTGGCTCTGGGCTTTAGGGCTTTTCGGATTTAGGGCTTTAGGGCTTTAGGGTTTTTGTTTTAAGGCTTTGGGGTTGAGGGCTTTAGGGTTTAGGGTTTATAGGGCTTTAGATAGAAGGCTCCGCCTTCGTGCTTTGAGCCTTCAGGTCTGTCGTCGGGTGTGGGGCTCAAGGGTTCACCAGGCCCACAGAAATTCCTCAAGCAGCCAAGCCCAAATCAACTCTAAATCCAAAGACCCCGAAGGCTCATCATGCTCCTCTTATAGAAGCCCTATAAACCCTAAACCCTAAACCCATAAGACCCTAAACCCTAAACTCCTAAACCCTAAACTTCGCAGGCCTTGCCATGCCTGGTAGAGGAACAAAGGCTCCGAGGCATTGTGACCTGCAGGGCAGCTCGCCGCGCTTGGGTTTTTGCAGCTGCTGCTGAGGAGGATGTTGTTGATGATCACGGTTTAGGGCTTATAGGGTTTAGGGTCTCAGGTGATGATGGAACAAATGATACAAGGTTCAGCGGTTTGTCCTGCTTCCGGACTTTCTGGGCTGAGCGAAAGGTTCGGAGTCGACTCGCATCTTCGAGCCCTCCTTGCGGACACCGTTCTCCTGGTGTTTTGCCCGCGCACTCTTCAGAAACCCTAGAGACCGTCCTAAGCCCGGACTGTTGCACACTCCTACAGTCCTTCGAGGCGATTCTACGCCCCTCACGTCAAGTCCCGGCAGCCCCAAAAGCTCGAACCCTTCGCAGCTTTCATAGAGCGCCTTCGATGATGCGGACGGCTTCCTCACACGCTGATGCTGTGCAGCTCCAACGAAGGAAACCCAAAACCGCTGGCGTTGAATTCTTTGCGCTAGGTCAGCACCGATTCTACTTCTGCTAGGCAAAAAAGCACCTCACATATTCAATCCCGATTCCATTGCAATTGTTAAACTCGAAACCCGACCAAAGTCCCAGAAACCCACAGCTTGAAACACTGCAAAGCTTCCAAGGCTTAGTCGATCTCATGATCTCTAAGGTTTGAACTCGTTGGGGCTTGGGGTGGGTTGTTGCTGTGCACATGGCTGAGCTCGCTATTCAGAATCTGTTTAGGAAGCACTGCTATGCTGAAGAATTGAGTTCCTGCCGCTGCTCCAGAAAAAATCCCCTCGCTTCTTGTTCGAACTTGCCTCCAGACAATGCCTTAACCTAAATCCTAAACCCCTTAAACCACCCTCTTAGGAGGGCTTGCTACCATCCTCTCTCCTCCGCGAAGAGCTTCGTGGAGTACTGGCCAACATCCCCCCAAGCGACCTCCCAGGAGAACTTGGTTCTGAAGTCCCGGGGGGGGTGGGAGATGCAAAGCTACCCAAAACAGTCCCTAAAGCCCCCCATGATGACCGCACCATTCCACAAAAAAAAGGAGAGAGAGAGAGCTGCCCCTGGTGCCCTGCCAAGCTGTGGCCGTGTGCACTCGACTTTTGGCCGCTCCACCCCTCAAGTTCTGCCATGAATGCTGCCACCGAGGCCGCTTCTCAGCTTTAGTGGAAGGCTTGGGGTTTCGGGGTTTAAGCTTTTACGGGTTGGTGGGGACTGGGTTTGCTGTGGTTCTTGTGCATGAGGCTTTAGGGTTTGGGAGGCTTACGGAGCATAGCCAGGTCTGAAGCAAGACTGCCAGTCGCCCTTCTGATGTGACGCGCAATAAACATAAACCCTGCCTGAGTACAGCCAGCGCCGCAACGCCTCAGTGACAAAGCAGTTTCTTCGGTGCAACTGAAAGCCTGTAATCCAAGACCCGAAACTGTCTGTCTCTGAGGAGCTGTTATGAGCTAAAGGAACGGGGCTGATGGTCAATCCGAAAGGTGAGTTTCAAGGTTGCAGAGAAATTTAATTCAAGCTACCCTGATAATGGTACATGGCAAAACTGTGCTTTCCGTCTTGCTGCAACTCAAGTCTCAGTTCCCTCGCCCGGAACCCGCAGTGGGCTCAGAATTTCGAGCTTAGTCTACGGCTTGGTAGGGCTTGGTCTTCACGACTGGCACATTCGATCAAGCCGTGCCAGACTCAGCTAGGCATTTTATGGAAGTCGCTCCGCCGCACTCTGTCCAGCACATGGCGTGCGGCATTTAACTCGAAGCTCGGGACTTCACATGCACTTGGGTGAGGATGTTCGGGAGCTGCTTCCATTCGCTTGCTGCTCAGCACTCCATTGTTTTCGGGCTCTGCTGGTTTTGAATTTTTTGAGATCTAAGAGCCGGCAGGAGAGCGAAGGGCTGACGACTCCGTGACTTTAAAAGCCGAAACTCCCCGAAACTAGATAGAGATTCCGATAGAGGCGCCTCAGAAACCTGCCTTCCTTCAGCTGAGCTGCTCCGTTGGCTCCCGATGCAGGTCGTACCCACCGGAGGTCACATGGAGGAAGTAGTCCTCCAGCAGATCACCCCAGGACATCCCCTCAACCCCAGCCCGGCCCTACCCGGCAGGATCGCATGGAAAGTGCAGCACCTTCCTTCTTTCCCTAGCCCTACCGTTCATCCCAGGTCCAACCGTGGGAGGAGGATCAACTGCTGTGAGGACTACCATGCCAAGGCACTAAGAAGTGGATCCCCCCCCCGTTGCCCAATAAAGCCTCGGAGCCCTCGTAGTATCCGTAGAAGGATTCGAAGCCTGACCCCATTGCCGGTGAGACTTTTGGTGTCGGGCTTTGGGTGTTTGGGGTTTAAGGTTTGGGATTTAAGCTTTTTATTGCTTTAGGACTTTGACGAATATCTGACTTAAGGGACGTTGGGAGAAACCTTCCGAAGTCCTGGCTTTCACTGAGCAGATGTGCTTTCTTCCGAGGTGTCTTCGGCGCCTTTGGGGGGGCGGTGCAAGGCTTCGAAGCCCTCAGGCTGGTCGTCGGATGTCACCCCTCTTGGCTCTGATGACACAGACGCCCTAAACCCTAAACCCCCCAAACCCGAGGGTTTAGGGTTTAGGGTAACCCCCGAAGAAAAATCAAAGGCCAGTGGGCCTCTGTACGTGGGTGTGTACTCGGTCTTGAAGAAGCCCAAGTGCCACTTGCCGACAGCATGGCGCCTTCCGGGAATCAGACGTGCTTTCTTAAGGGCTTCCAGCTAGGTTTAGGGTTTAGGGTTTAGAAAAAAGAAACTCTCAACTTCTCCAAGAGTCCCACAAACCCACAAAACGTCACCGTCCCACATTACATTGCTCTCCACACAAAGACCCATGTCGAACATGTCCAGCTTCAACAACGGAAGTGCTCCCATATTTGCATCTTCCACCTGCCGATGTACTGTAGGTAGTTCTCTAAACTAGGGTCCCTCTTTAGGTCCCCAAAATAGTACGGCACCCTTATAAAAAGAACCCTAAAAGGGACCCCAATTTAGAGAACTACCCATATACTTCCAGAGACTTGGCCTGTAGCCCAGTCCGCCCAACAGCGAGGGCAGCGTGGTCTCGTTCCGCGGAAGGCCGTATGCTTCGTTCGGGATCCTTGTTTCAGGCTTAAGAGGTCCAGGGTGGTCTTGACAGCGGGAAACATGAACCCAGACAGCCAGAGAGCCCAATTACGCCTTAATTAAGGAATATACCTTTAATTTTTGGGGCCTGTATGTTATGATTTCAGGTATATTCCTTAATTAAGGGTATTGGGCTCTCTGGGAAGCTGAACCTGCAAGCTCTGCACTCAATCAACTCGAAAGCCCTCAGCGCCAAGACCAAAACAGGGCTGCGAGCACCCCAAAGCCTCAAACCAGATCCAAACAACATGAAGGCAAAAGCCACCCTAAACCCTAAACCCTGGGCCCTTAAACTACAAACCCTAAACCCTAAACCCCTAAACCCCTAAGACACACCAAGCAACCAGTTGTTGATGCCCGTGTGCAGCGGCATGCGCCCTGTCATGAAGGTCGCCTCGGAAGGGGAGTAATTGTGCCTGAGGACCTGAAGGAGTGGGTTATGAGCTGATGATAAAGCTGATCCAAAGCATCGAAAAGCACGAAACCGGGGGCGCAAGATCACAACGCCATTGACAGCAGTCAGCCATCGAAAACGCCTTCGAAAATCTAAAGGGCGGATCACCGCAGAAAGCACAGCCGAATTCGCCAGGGCGCTCGGCTGGGCGAGCAAGAGGGAAGCACGTAGTACTGGTCCAGGGTCACACCCCTCTCGTGGAACCTGATTGGGAAAGGACTGCCACACTCCCTCAAACCCCAAAACCCTAAAACCTAAACCCTAAAAACCCTAAACCCTAAACCCTAAACCCTAAACCCTATAAACCCTAAACCCTAAATACCCTAAATACCCTAAAAACCCTAAATACCCTAAAAACCCTAAAAACCCTAAAAACCCTAAAAACCCTAAAAACCCTAAACCCTAAAACATAAACTCAAACTTTCCGGGAGGAGGGACCCGCAGGGCCAGAAGATGCATTCAAAGAGCCGAAGATCTGTCAGCTGTAGCATTGGGGATCAGCCCTTTTGGGAGTCGGAGAGAAGAAGTGTGAATATCCGAGTTTAGGGCTTATTATAGGGCTTGGGGTTTAGGGTTTAGGGTTGAGGGTTTCGGGTTTGGGCTTTAGGGATCTGGGTGCGGCGTAGGTGCGCAGGTCAGGCAGGTGTGAGTCTAAGGAAGTTCTAAGTGGGGCTTGGGTTTAGGGCTTTGGGGTTCAGGGTTTCGGCATTGACAGCGCTGAGATGCTGGAGTGTTTTGGTAGTTGTGGCCTCTACCTGAAGTCTTGCCCGAAGCAGACACAGGGGATCTCTCCTAGTCACAACTCCGGCCGTTCCATTCTTTGAAGGCTATGTTTCGGACATCTATGAGCCTGCTTGCTGTCGCCTGCGCCTCGAAAAACACAAGGGCCGGAAGCCTTCTGCCATCCTCTATGTACTAAATTAGGAGACCCTCGAAGCTGACGTTGTGTGGCGACAGCTCGACCCTCTGCACCTACAGTGTCATCTGGGTCGGTTACACGCCGGCTTCCGTACAAGGTAATTACAAGAAGTCCGTCTTTCACAAGCTTCTGGGAAGCGTCGTGGGCATAGAGGCATAGAGCTAGGCTTCCACGCGAGAGTGTGCCATGTGTTAACACGCACCATAGGATCCTCCTAAACCCTAAACCCTAAGCCCTAAACCCTAAACCCCAAACCCTAAACCATGCAGTTGTCGTCATAGGATCATCACCGGGTGGCATGTTCAGAGTGGGCGTCTGGATCTGGTTCCCATTCCGAAAGCCAGGGTCGTCCCAACCAAAATCGTCGATCACCTCGGCTCCGACCCGGCCATCTTCCATACAAAAGCCTTTCCGGTGATTGAGGTAACTGCTAGCATGGATCCGATGTCGAATCGACAATGAGGATGGAAACTGCAAGCAAGATGAACCCAGCTCCTCACCAAAGCCTCAAAGGGAGGAGAACCAAGAACCCCATGTACTATATACTGCTGCGCTGCACTTGGCTCTGCAACAGTATCCTCATGCTTCAATGCATCAGGTAAGTGCGATGGTTCCGGGGTTGTCGTACCCCAGCGCCGCAACACTCCAACATTGCAGGCGGAATCCCGATCCTTCTGCGTTAATGCCACCCTTCGGCCTAGTTCTGGCCACCCCCACAAAACCTCCCACCCTCAACCCAGCGGCATGGAAGATGATGTGTGGTCTCTTCGCAAGGGTCGACGACCACAGCGAGAGCAGCAGAGGCCAGGCGAGAAGTGCCATGGCTCCAGAACAATTCGTGTTGTATTTATAAGCTTATAGGCTTCCGAGACGAGGCCTGGGATGTGAAATGGTCCTTCAAGCTCATGCATGCTCCTGCTGTTCGACATGCAGAGCTCTTGTAGTGCGAGTTTGATTCAGTTCTCACGGACATTGCAACCTGGACCCAATTTGGGAGTTCAAGTGGTGGTTTCAGACACGTCACTGAGGTTTCTGCAATAATTGCTCATTGCTTGAGGCTTCAGTCGCGAAGTCTGTGATGATTGAGATGCTTAAGCCTTCTGAGCCTTCTACATACTTTGTGACAGCGCTTGAGCCGCACGAGACGATAGATACGATTGCAACGATGGGTGCACTACGGAACCGACGTCACGTGACCCTGCAGTCGCAGACCCTGGGCCCCGACCTCAAGGTCTCAAAGCACCAAAGACCACAAAGCCTTCAAATGCAGTGGAATTACAACAGCGATAACCCCCTTTTGACGCCCAAGCCTGTGCTGGAAGAATGCCTCAACAAAGCGTAGAGGCCTGCTTTTTCGGCAACAAGCCCGAAGCGCTCAGGAAAAGCCGCCACGGCGCCGCGGCCTCCCAGCCACGAGACGAACCGAACCTCCCCCCAACCATCCGACGCCCACCGAAGCAGACCGAGCCTCGGATCAAACCTCGGATCAAAGGAAGATCCTCTTCTGGAACATCGGCAGAGCATCATGTTCACTTGAAGCATCAGCCCCTGTGCAAGGATGACACGCAAAGCGTGACCAAGGCGTTGGCTCAAGCTCAGAGAGATGCACAAAGTGCATTGTGGCTTGGGGTTCGTTTCTGGGTTTGGGGTCTGGCTTTCCCCTCCTGGTACCCTAATCCACCCCCTCTCCTGGTACCCTAGTCCCGAGCCCAGTACAGGGTGTGAAGGGTTCGTTGGTTCAGGGATTCAGGGCTAAAAAAAACAGGTGGTATATGTTTGAGGTGCCAGGTGAGGGATGGCGGGGGATACAATTGAACGAGCAAGAATCTTGATGAATGATGTTCCCCTTCAAATGCTTCGTTCCCCTATTCCTTCCCACTTTAGTGTATAATCACTGAAGGCAGCCCAGAACAACAACGCGGTCCCCGTCCACCTCCGGGACACTTCCAGGGGCCGCCTCGCTCGATGCCATGGAGCTCACCTGCGGCTTACAGTCCGCACTTTGGAGGAAAGCGTTGGGCTCATAACCCCCGAAAGCGGAGGCACCTTGTGTTTTCCTTGGAGAACAAACCCTGCGGGAGTAAGCATGCTTCCCATCCCTCCGCAGGCGCACCTTCATTCATTCATTCATTCATTCATTCATTCGGTCATTCGGTCATTCGCTCCGTCATCCATCCAACCCATTCATTCCTTCTTCATTTCATTCCAATTCATCTCATTTCATTTCATGTCATTTCATGTCATGTAATTTCATTTCATTTCAGGGATCCATTTCATTTCACTTAATCTTATTTCATTTCATGTCGGCAATTCAGTCAGTCAGTCAGCCAGTCAGTGCATCAGTCAGTCAGTCAGTCAGTCAGTCAGTCAGGCAGTCAGTCATCAGCATCATCATTATCATCATCACCATCATCATCAGCATGTTCACCATCGTCATCATCATCAACGAATCATCATCATCATCATCATCAACACTGCCACATGTCATCTAGATCCTCCGAAGTGCCGTGCCGGATTGAAGCATGCTGCGAACACGTTTTGGATGCCTGTTGAAGGGGCGGTGAGTATGTAAAGGCCTCAGGCAGACCTCCACACGGAGAAGTGCAAACCAGCAGGCGCTCACCTAAGGTGAGACCTTTGGCGTGGCCCATTGAAGGTGCACGCGAAAAACACTGGGGCTCTCCTAAGGTGAGACTAGCAGCTCTGGGACGTGTGCATAAGGCCTCCAAGCACAAACCAGCCTGGGCTCACCTACGGTGAGACCCCTGCGGCTTGGCTCTCAAGTTTCTTTGTCAAGAACTGCTTCACTGCTTCCGTCAAGTGCGGCAGCAACTTGTTCTTGACTGTTGTGTTGACGAGATCAAACCCTCCCTTGCTTTCGCTGATGAGGTTCTTGATAAACTCCTGATCTTTCGGCTTGCTGGCTGTGGCATTTGCAACGTCCATGGCCTGAAAGCTCTGCGTCAGCATCTGAAAGCCGTTATTCCCTTCCAGCCTGCTGCTCAAGTCATGCATCGCCGAGTCGGGAAGCACAACATCTGGCTGAATGTCCTTCTCCACCGATACGAAGGTTTCGAAGATGCACCAAACCTGAAGCGATGCAGGTCGGCTCTATGGACTCTTACACTCTCTTTCTCCCTAATGCCTTTGCCTTCACTCCGATATTGGATTACAGGGCCGTTTGCCAAAGCACCCTCTGGATGTAGACCGGCGCCAGGAAGTCATCCAAGATGATAATCCTCAGATGACGGCTGCCCCCTAGATAATGGCCAAGACCTGCAACCCTGAGGGGTCTGCGGGGCACTATGACAAAGGCTGTTACAAGGGTCATCAGAAGGGTTATGATAACAGCAAGAAAACTGTGATACTACACGGGCTATAGTGAGCGCTTTGAAGAGTTCTATCCTCAAATTTCTTGCTTGTAAGGACCTTTGTGCGTGACGGGCCTACACCCTAAACTCAGAACTCTCAACCCCCCTATAACCCAGACCCGAAACCCTAAACCCTCACGCCATACTATTAACACCAACCCCAAAGCTTCGCACGCTTCAGACGGGTCGAGGGCCTCCATAGCTCGGCATTCGGAAAAGACCGAGCTCTCTAGAACCCCTGTAGAGACCTGAACGAAACCATGTTAACAAACCGTGCAAGACTTCATAGTAAACAATGTATAACCCCTTTCGCCCGTCTTGTCTGGCAGAAGGACATGCTCCACTCCAGTCCCGCATTCTAGGGTGTGGGTTTCGCAGAATGTGTTTTGTGGGAGTCTTCAACTTCATGCGACACTACTATACTTCGGTGGGCCCAACAGCAACACCACATATAAAACCCTAGAGAAACTTGAACAGTTACCTTTATTGAGTTAGACCTTGAAGAGACCCCATTGAAACTCTACAACATCCTTCGCCCAGGGTCATCCTGCCGATCCGGGTGAGATTGTCCTCGAAAGCGGACTTTAGCTCCTCCGTGCTCGTGACCTCTGTGATTCGGTACCTTTGTAGCTAAGAACTCAGCGACTGCAAAATCCGGCTTCGTTAATTTCGGGTCGAGTCCCTAGTAAGGGATCCTTTGCTACTCTTACTTAGAGTCTTTGGGCAGGTTAAGGTTCCCCTTGACAATTTCAGCCAACCGTAGCCCAGCTGCTGGTTGTTGCAGAAGAAGCACATCCATAAGAAGATGTTGTCTTTGTGGCTCTCGGTCTGCAGGCACCACTTCAGCAAGGCATCAGCGACCTGCCCCACTTGGTAACGCCAGCACCAAGAGACAAAGTTCGTGGCTCGGTTACGATGCTTCTGGGAAAGAGAATCGACAAAGCTGCAGCCTGGCTGGTTGTCTCGAGGACAAATAATTCTGGAGCCAGTGCCACCGGGCAATTGGAAGATCTTCTTCCCGACATCTCGGAAGCTCCAGGATGCGACGTCTTTGCCGAGATTCCAGCCCTTTGAACTAGCTAGCCATCCTGCAAACTTGTCCATGACGAAAGCTGCACGAATACCAGCCATCAAGGATTTCTCCTGTGAAGGGCTTCCACAACAAACCGGATTGCGGCTCAGAGGTTTTAAAACAAATTAGCGGTTTAGCGCCCCCAGGCTACCCAGTCCTTCAGAATTCGACGTGCCGCAATTGTTCTCGGAGTCCACAGCTGCTCAAACTTGCTTTTCTCAACCTCATACTCGGACAAGACGGACTTCGCTGTGTCAATGGCGAACTTGGTGGAACTGCTTCGGTAGTCCTTCAACTCGAACAGCTTCACCTGCCTGCCATTATCCACAGGCCCCGCGAAGTAAACCTTCCCGCTGGCTGCACAAACGTGCGAGAAAACCCCGGCGTTCCCCTCCTTGCCATCAATGTGAACGTTGCAGAGAGCCCCAGAGTCCGGATCGTAAACGAAGACACCGCTGCCTGCAAGGTACACCTTGCCACCCGCAGCACAAATTGAGCGGAAGTTGCCTCCGATACTGGAAGCAGGGTTGCAAGTGCCTGTGACGGAGTGATAGACATACATGTGATTTATTGCGAGAGGAGCTAAGTAGACGTTGCCCCCAGCAGCACACACGGACGAAAACCAGTCTTTGTAGTCGCGCACATCTAAGTCTGATCCCGTGTCCGAGTTCTGAAGGCTTATGCATGTGCCCTCATCAGCAACCGAGTCATAGGCGAACATCTTCTGTGCAGCAAGCGGGGTGAAGTACACTTTCCCTTCTGCAGCACAGCAGGCACCAAACTTGAGTTCTGAATCAGATAACCTCCGTCCGAGCGAAGCAGAAACGTTTATCCTCCCGGAGACTGCGCCACTGCTTGGATCGTACACGTGTATCTGCTGAGCCGCGCCAGGAGCCAAGTAAACCTTGCCACCCTCCACGCACATGGCCGTAAAGGTGGGATGTGTTTTTGAAGGCGTTCCATCAACCATGCAACCGAGTTTTCTCTTGTTCACTTGCCCTTTCGCTGAATCGTACTCAAAAAGGATCCCTTGAACGCCCTCAAGCAGAAACACGTTGCTGCCTGCAGCCGTCATCGAGCATTCTCCTTGGAAGGAACGATTCAACCCCGGAATGTCTTCCAAAATGTACTTGATTTTTTTTTGCTGGGGTCATATTCCAACCATTGGCGAACAGCATTCTTCTCATCTGCGATCCGTTCAAACTTCTGCTCAGCACTGTGCCAAATACCATAAACCGAATCCTCTTCAAAGAGTTCCCTTCTCAAGCATGACGTTGTCTGAAGTGTCGGTGCCAAATGCAGCTTCCCATCTGTGGAAGCACACATAACCACTGCTTCATCTCCGCCTAGATCGAAGATGCGACCAGCACGACCCGAAC